AAAACAATTGATTGCGACACGGCTGGGGAATAATAATAAAAATGGTCGACTTATAGAGCGCATATTGTGTATACTTCTATGCGCTTAACATAAACATGAAAAACGTACCAAGAAAGTAATACTTAAATAAATTAATCCTATTCCTTAAACTAAGCACGGTTTGGCCGTTGGCTCCGAGGAGCTCGTCCGTCCTGTGTTTAGCTATTTGTTTTATTGATGTTAGGTTACTATTCACCCTTTCATCCAAAAGCCGCTAAGGCCGTAGATGGGGCTACCAGTTAGTCGCCGGCGATTCGAGTGGATGCATGTTAACGTCATACCCAGGACATGCAGAAGTACGTACGTAAACATTATTATGTGGACTGGAACAACTAATAATCTAGTGAAAAACGACGGTAAAAGTTATTATTTCTTCCACAATTAATCTGAAATATGGAATGGTATTGACCTTATGAGATGGAGACTTTGATGATCTATGTTATTAAGGTTTTTCAGACCAGTACCGGTAGGTTTCGAAGCCAAGATGGTTTTTGGGGACCATTTTTTTTTACAATGCTCACAGCCGTTTAAATAAGCGTAATTATATTAAATATAGCCTATACACTCTTTACAGTTTATGAAGCGGACAGTTACTGTTGAATAATGGCATGTGAAAAGAGAGGCAAATAGACCTACTGTTAATCAAGGGAAACACCAAAAATCGCAAGCACCTAAAAATCGAAAAAAAAAGACATCAAACATTAAAACCATCAAACGTAAACAAATACATCGAACATGAAAAAGTCAATAAAAGACATTAAAAATAAACAGAATCGGTGTGGAAGAAGGGTGAATGGGGAGCAATCATCTTAAAAAACAGTTATGATGGAACTCTGAAAAAAGGTTAGTTTTCATTATTAAGGATATTTGTGAAAAAAGGGGTGGGACTATTTTGGTATCTAGAGGCTTTAGAACTAGTTGAAATTTTCTGCGGTTTCTTAAACTCATACTATGTGTGTCGAAATATTACGATTAAACCAGTGGTCATAACGAATATCTTTGGAGCAATTTGTAGCAAACTTAACACACAATTAATACCTGCGAATACTCAATGCTTCTTATTCACATGGAATAAGAGCATCCTCATAGTTTGTAAAATCTTCTAAAATGATTTTACAAAGTACGTTTTTGAACTGATTCAATAGTTACAGTTTTTTTTTTTTTTTTTTTTTTTTTTTTTTCTAGATCTGTTTCCCATTTGAAGTTACTATAACTTACTGTATATAATCCTTCAAAATTAGAAATTCAACGTCATAATAGAAAGATTAAATGAGAAGTTTGAACTTCACTTCGTGATAGTGGTAAGAGATTAAATGCCAATCGTCATACCAATGCTTCATTGAAATGAATGCAAGTTCACCTTCAGGACTGTCGTTTCATATTAAGGTATACACATTAGGCCTATTATTTTTACTATACTCTGTAGCCATCTCAATTTCAAGACTGATCAACGAATGCGAAAATCTCAAATCACACAAATCTTGTAACCACGTATGAGATGAAATTGAATTTCTGATGGGTTTTTAGAATATAACTCTGAAAAGTATATTCGTTAAGCTAGAACGTAGATTTATTATGTGGTTCTATTTACGTAAAGCTTTGTAATATTATAGCTATTCATTCAAACATTTTGAAAACGAGTGTGGCTTATAGTTAAGCTCTGTCCACACTATCAAATTTTCTTTGACAAAAAAAGTGTTGTATGCCCATATATAGTCATCATGTACCCAAATATGGTCACAATGTGATGTCACCATGACCATATTTGGGCATGTCACATGTTTTGACAAAAAATGTTGCATGCCCATATATAGTCATGATGTGTACTGCTATGGACATAATGTGATGTCATCATGATCATATTTAGGCCCGTTTAGGCATGTCGCATATCTGGAGAAGGCTTGAGAAAGTAAAGCAGTTCGAAAGGACCAAATGAAACTAGAATAAATAAACAAATTTCAGTTGGATTATTGTTGTAAAAAAGTGTTTAAAACACTGATGACATACAATATAATTAAGCTTTATTATGCTATAATGCTAATCTGCCATTGCAAAAAGCAAAAACCTCCCTTATCCTTTTTCACTCCAAACTCCCACATTCATTCACTCACTCTCGCGTATGGTATATTTGTTAGTCCATTATTCTCAAGCTCGTTGAAATGAAACTTAAATACCTGGGTATGCGTGCAAACTACCGTATTTGCCTTATGAATCTTGGACAGCACTAAACACATGCAGAGACCTTGCACTATTTTAATGGAGTTTAATATAGGTAGGCCTACAATCTGTATTGTTTAAGCGACTATTTGCACTCGGTGGCATTATTAAGCCGGTTTTCCACTAGGCGAATTTATTCGCGTGAATCGACAGCGTCGTTCATGCGCATTCACATTTCTATAGGAGTTTTCGCTTCATCAACGAAATCGGTAAATCGAACTGTTTATACTTTTTTGCGAAGCGAGAAAAATGCGCAGCCAATCAGAGTTCAGGAAGCGAACAGACGGTTTTGATTCGCGCGAAAAAACACTTTTTTTTTTTTATTGAAGTAAATTTTTCAGACGCGTAAGGTCCAGATTAAGTTTCCAAGTTTCTGTTAGTTTTGTCAACTCACAAAGATCACAACTAACGATTTCGCGTACCAAAAAAATTATCCCGAACACTTACTGTTATAAACATTGAGGTTCCCTACCATAAGTCAGTCATTATAGAGATTTTGACTTTAGACAACGGTAAAACCTAGGACATAATGACGTCATGCAGAGTTATCTGCGCATGCGAAGACTGAGTTTCTGCCCTCCTCTCAAGCATGGAGGAAAACTCATTCCTCCATGCATGGATGCTCCATGTCTCATGTAAATTCTACTGTGTGAACGGAGGACGGTCACGGATGACTGAACCCGTCCTAGGGTCAAGCTGTAGTCGCTAATCGAAACTTTCATATCGATCAGTGCATATTACATTTTTCAAGAAAATACTCAATAACATAAACCCCTCTTAATTAAACATATATTAGTTGTGTTGAGCTAATAATGTTGAAGAATATACATAGGTCAATATGAATTGTTTACTTTCTATAATTACTTATCTCTGATTTAAGTTAGTTATTAGTTTTCTATCATGCAGATTCAGATTCAATTACAATTTAGAATTAGAAAAGCTTTTTCTCACTAGTCACAGACGCATGAATATAAATAGGCCGACAGTCCTAGCTATTCACCAGTGGTGGACTCAAGGGGTTTAATTCCTTTTTTTTTATTGAGAAGAAAAAGGGCATTTCAGGCTATCTATTAAAGGTGCCATAATCACAATGTGACCAACCATGGCGGGGCTGATATGGTATAGACACACATTTGGGAAAGTTCGTCTCTGGGCCCCCCTATATTTCGAAATCCTGAATCCGTCAGTGTTCTCTTTTCACTCTAAAATAGTGCCTACAATGATCGCTTAGGCCTACATTAATAAAATTCACTCTGAATAGAGTATAATCTCAAGCACAAACGTGAGCTGTAGACAGGCAGTTAAACTAATGAAGCAGATACCCCTATGAAACCAAACCTATTATAATCGATTACCCCTCTTAATTAAACATATATTAGTTGTGTTGAGCTAATAATGTTGAAGAATATACATAGGTCAATATGAATTGTTTACTTTCTATAATTACTTATCTCTGATTTAAGTTAGTTATTAGTTTTCTATCATGCAGATTCAGATTCAATTACAATTTAGAATTAGAAAAGCTTTTTCTCACTAGTCACAGACGCATGAATATAAATAGGCCGACAGTCCTAGCTATTCACCAGTGGTGGACTCAAGGGGTTTAATTCCTTTTTTTTTATTGAGAAGAAAAAGGGCATTTCAGGCTATCTATTAAAGGTGCCATAATCACAATGTGACCAACCATGGCGGGGCTGATATGGTATAGACACACATTTGGGAAAGTTCGTCTCTGGGCCCCCCTATATTTCGAAATCCTGAATCCGTCAGTGTTCTCTTTTCACTCTAAAATAGTGCCTACAATGATCGCTTAGGCCTACATTAATAAAATTCACTCTGAATAGAGTATAATCTCAAGCACAAACGTGAGCTGTAGACAGGCAGTTAAACTAATGAAGCAGATACCCCTATGAAACCAAACCTATTATAATCGATTTGATAATCGTAGGCCTGGATGACACGACCACCATGCATCTCCAGGTAGACGGGTCACGTGTAGGCTTCACAGTCTCTTCAAATGCTAATCGTTAGAACAATACAATGTATCATTTTTCTTGTTGGAGTAGAGTTTGAAAGAGCGCATGAAATTAGTTAATTGATTATTCCCGTTTAGTGCAAGGTACTGTAATGGACAGTTTCATCCGGAGATATCAATTAGTGTACGGCTGTGGCAACAGCTCAGATCAATAGTTGTAGTCTAATAACGTTAGTTGGCTATGCTTAACACGAAGATCAGTTCCTAAGGCGATCGTAATTCCAACGTGCAATTGTATTAATGAACACGTTTATTTGATATTGGTATTGTGAATGTTGTGATGATAATGATGATGACGATGATGACGATGACAACGACGACAATAACTACCATTAATCCATGACGAAAATGATGACGATGACGAACAAACGAAGACGACGATGATGATGCTGACTGAGGATGATGATGACGATTATTGATGTTGATATGGTCGTAAACCTACTTATGAAATCGATGTTTAAGGTGCGTATATTTCTTAACGTACGGTACAAATTGGTATAGAATTTGCCCCGTGAAACAAAAGCACATCTATGAAAAAACGATGTTCAGTACTATGATGTTCCAGTTATTACACCGCTCACTTACGATGTAAGCTTGATCAAAATATTGTATTTCAATTGCATTTACGTAGGCCTATATATTTGCCTAATATTCAATAGCCTTTAAATATACTTACGAAACTCACGCATTATTAGCATTGTCTTCTTACCTGTAAGGATAGACAACTTGCACATTGCGGGGAATGGGTTATTGCCAGATGTGTCTATGATGTCGAGTCGATACACCTGTCCTTTGATCTTATAGATTTTCCGATGAAAATCTTCAATAGTAGGTGTGTACTGATCGTCAAAATGTCCGGTCAGAAATCGACTGACTATTGCTGTTTTGCCGACTTTCGGCGATCCGAGAACAACGAGTCGGAAACAGTTGTCTGGTGGGACCTCGATATCGCTGTCCCGTGAGGGAGAGTCGTCTGGCGACGACGGTGAGCTCATCTTGCAACGCAGGCTGCTGAAAACACAATAAACAAATGCGTTGAGAGAACAATATCACAAGATTATAAATGCGTCTAACGCTTATCCGGAGATCAAATCATTCATGGCGAAAAATCAGCAGTTGATTTTAAGCAAATAATTTGCACAGTTGAACGGCGGCCGATGTTAAGAAGATAGTCTGCGCAATAGTTACTCAGATCTGTAGCTGCTTATCATCAAACCATTTTTATAGACGCACTGCCGGACGAATCAGCTTTAAAATCTGATCGAAGAACGCGATATATTGCATAGATCGCCTAGTATTGGCTGACTTACTTGTAGCGCGAAGCGAAATCAATTAGAATAAACTGTCAATCAACATAATTCCTGGCTAAAGCCACACCCACATCTTAAACTGCTCATTTGTATACAAATATTGTTATTATTTAACAAACGCATTAAAGTCAATAATTACAGAAAGCCAACCATTGTATGAATCATTAATTATTAATAGTGATATTAATAGGAATTCTACGGAATCATTGGAACTAACGAGGCATACGTAAAATCTTATGGGGATTGCAGATACGCCGTGAAGACAAATACGTAATATAACAATGCCGGATGAAGATTATGCATGGAAAGACAGTATTTTATGAGTATGACGTTGGCTGGTTAAATTCTATTTGTTTGTACTGCTTTCGGTTGTTGAACCATTTTTATCATTTACCATACGTATTATAAGGCGTGAATAGGCCTATTTAGCAAATAGGCCCAATTTATTAATCAATCAACAAAAACAGCCTAATATTACAGAATCTTATATGATTCATGTATACAGGCTCTGTCGATAGCTAAGTCATATAGGCCTATTTTTTAAAACCTATCATATGCCTAATTGAATCACAGTATGTTTCATGTAAAAACAAATATTATATATATTATTTCATAAATAGTTTGCATTATGTAAAAATACAACACAATTCGAGCTTGATTTTACTTATTGATTTTGTTATTTTTATAATCGACTGATGGTTACTTATCTTATTTATTGTTAATTGATTATGATGATGATGATGACGATGAATATTATCATCATCATCATCATTATTATCATTAAAATTATTATCATCACTTTCATCATCAAAATAGCACATTGCATGCAACTACATTTTTAAAGTATTAAACAATTGCAAAACAAATTAATAAATCATTCATCAATTCTCAAATGCGTCATCGAAGAAATATTGTTTCCAGTTTTACCAAGCAGACCTCGTATAAAAAAGAAAGAGTTCCATGCATTACATGCTACCTTGTAAAAATATAAACAAACAGTAACTAGTTTGAAACGCTTGACGATACAACGCAATTGTGTTAACCTAATATTTTAATACTAAAATGACCTCTCCTCAAAGTGGTTACGTGCATGGTACTCAACAAGAAGAATCTTAAACGAATATATTACAAGAAAGGCAAACGAACGTTCGGTGACCAAACGGGTTGTTTTGATGGCTATGAAACTAGCTGCTTAATTGATTTAACACACGTAAATTAGTTCTGTCATAACGGAATAAACATTGCAAATTGGCAAAATTGGTAAGTGGATGTAAATGAATGGTCTAGTCGGCAACCGTACACACTCGCTTTCATATGCCAGTGTTAAACAATGCATCAAGGATGTAAACCGTGGATTGATATATACATAGGATGATTAGATATAGAATGTTAGATTAACCGCCTTAACGAAACGAATTTCAAATATAATCGTCGTGCTCATCATCGCTAACATTATCGCCATTATCATACCATTTGCTTCATACGATAATCATATTCCTTCCCGTTCACATCATCATTTTCACGATCATTACTGTATTAGGCAAAATGAGGCCTGCCACCGCCATCAACATCATTTTTTCGCCATCTTCATCATACTAGGCCTATATCATGTCAAAAGACACCTACGTCAACAAACGTCTTTATAGAATTGGGTGCTTCTGTAACACTGGTATCATCTGTAAAACAGATTGGTAAAGGTCAAGGGAAATCTGATCTACTAACGGTATCCACTGGCCAACGGGAACAGGATGACCGAGTTACTAGCCTTTTTGCACTTGGGCAACTATATGCAGGTGGTATGCTGTCTCTTATACACATCTAGATGTGTATAAGAGACAGAAACTCACCTATTTATTAAGAAGAGCTAAAGCGCTTAGAGACTTGTAATTTGCGCTATATAAAAACGGATTATTATTATTATTATTATTATTATTATTATTATTATTGCATCATTAATGTTCTACGCGTTTCTATCTTTCCCAGCCTCTTCGTAATTTTCATCAAAATCATAACCACCAATTACAAAATCATCATAACCATTAAAACCTTCTAATAAGATTTAATGTCATCATTTTTTCCTCCCATCAACATTCTCGTCATGAGACCATACGCATAATTTCTATCTTCATCATCGTCATTATGCCTATAACCATTATCTTGTTTTGTGAATACATGGAAAGTTGCAAAACTATTAATAGGCCTAAACATTTACCTGTTTGCTAATTGTCTGTTTATAATAGGCGTATAAATTTGCATTGATTAAATGTAACTCTAAACTTAAAACTGAACTAAAATTAAAACCATTACACGAATCGGGAGGTACGGTGGCTGAAGCGCTAACGAACCCCAGCACCGCAAGAACAATTCTTAAAGGATTTTCAAAAAAAATTCCTCTAGTAGTCAGCAGCTCCTGAAGTGTTGTTTGGTGCTTCGGTACTCAGATGCTTCACAGATTATGCTAATGCTATCAAAAGCTATACCGCTGCCGCTTCGTGTTCTAGAATACCGCGTCAAAAGACACCTACGTCAAAAGTTATCAAAAAACAAATTCCCCACCAACCTTCACCCCTACCCCGAATCGAAACAGATCCCGTCTCCATAGTTCTCGGATTATTTCATTTTCCCGGACATTATGAAATATCAACGCACCACATGATGACTATATATTGGCCCATTCACCAGTCTATTTAATAACTATACATATATTATGCAAAGATGTAGGCAGGGACATTGGCTCAATATGTCGGGTTAACTTCTTCGGATTTTAAACCTCTTTCGCGGCCGTAAATCTGCCGATTGTCATCGGGAAGAAAATTATAGAATATTAATTGCCAACATGGGAACGACAACTGTCTCATTAATCTAATGTCCACCCAACCAGGCAAAAGAAAACATAGACTACGGAGTCAACAACATGAAATCACTAGGTATACATTTTGACTACAGTCGCCTTTCAAGAATTCCTCGACCTCTTCATGCACTTAAGCCTGGTGCCCGCTCTGTGCGCACTGAATTCGTCCGCAGTCTGTGTGGGTGATTGTCGGACTCATCATCTGTCCCCCTGACCGTCAGTGGCAGTCTGTTGAGCGGATCGCCGCTTGAAAAAGTTCTATCGGATCTCATGAAATCGTATCGACTGACACGCTGACCACAGCACAAAACACCGGGGGTATTATTAAACCATTTATTAAAACATTAGTTGAGAGCATTTGTAGGCAACGGTTCGTGTTTAGACTAGCTACGATGAAGCACAATATAATAATAATATCATTGTCAAATCTTATTGTCATAAACTAAATAGGTGCATTTGAAAGCTTTCTTCTGTCTTCCTCGGACAGCCAGAAACATAACAAAAATTAATAACATACAAAAATACATACCGGTAATCTAATTTTGGTGCCGTCACCATAGTTCCGTTCAGCTGAACGACTACAATTACGACAGCGGAAGAAAGCTACGGAAGAGCTAATCATAGAAGCTGTCGTGATGACAGCAAAAGAAAACAACGAAAGTTAATCATAGTATACGTTTTATGACTTTTTACTCGTTACGGAATTGATTACGTCCGGAATTTAAAGATGACATGACTTGACGGGTACATTCCATCATTTAATTCCGCAATTGAGGCTCAGCATTTTGTTTTATAAATCCTTCGTAAAAAAAACCAAGAAAAAATAGAGTAGTTGGTCAGCATGGCTTTAAATGTATTAAAGGGGATTTTAGCATTATGACTGCCCTATAGACTTTGATAGCAATCTATTCTTCATGAACACAAGTAAATGATTTCACTACCTCCAAATTAGTTCTAGAATTTATGACCTTCATATATACGAATGTCCTACTCGTCTTTGACAACATTATTGATAACTTTTTTTTTTAGATATCTTGTCTGTAGCCAGTGTTATTTTAAATATCTGAAGAAGAATTGCTGTTTGCCTTTGGAATAGAGGAGTGGGAAGTGTTAGAGGTTTGAAGACGAGGATCTGGATCCTTAATTAAGTTACAGATGAGATAAAACGAGTAACCACTTTTTAGTCTTTTCCTGTGACACAACATTAGAGAACTACAGCCAGCATATAACCTCAAAATACATGATTATCTAATATAGGCCTATTAAATGAGATAAATCCTAAAAGTTTATAATTGGGTCTGTTGGCTACTTCAGCAATATACGTATTTAAACCAAATTTCAGCCACACTACCAAATTGCTCATATAGTCTACGAAGAAGTATAATCAAGCAAAAAAGCGAGGAAGAAAATGTACGGTATTGATTTTTGAAGCAGGATTGTCTCTAAAAAATACAGTCATTGCACACCTGCATGACAAGAGTTTCGGAACCGAACCGTGACTAGAAAATATTGTAGAACAATAATGAATAAAGATGAAAATAACGGTATAGTTGAGAATGACATGGTATTGTTTGATTAGTGAGGGCTGTTTCATAGACCTACATAGCTTCCTTCATTTTAAGAAGTTGCGTTGTGGGGGTGGAGCATAATGAAAATCATTTTTATTGGCCCGTTGTTTCCATTGGCGGAAACTATTCAAGTGATGGAGTCGATGTTCGCCATGTATGCAAAAGGTCCCTGATTCGGGAACAGTTAATAATGAGTGTTTTCTTCATTCTCGTCAGAGTTCTGCTAAGTTATGTGCGTGTGTATTTCATATCATAGGCCTATGTAAGATTATATACATAGTTAGATCTACTTTATGGAACTTTGTTCACATAAATAATGTGGATGAATGGTTGTTCGGGATACTGATATTTACACTTTAGTTGACAAATCATTCTTGATTTATCAATGATGCAGGATGATAAGCATTTTCTTTATCAGTACATTGTAAATTTGCCTTAAAACTATTTTTCTGCAAAACTCTTTCATCCCAAGTGGAGTCGTTAGAGAAACAAAGTCACTGTTTATTGTCATTCCCAGATCAATAAATCCAGACTCAGGGGCTGGGAATTGAGATACACAAGCAGGAGACACTCATCAGTGTCCAATTCAGCATAGGCCTAGAGCTCGTTTGCTGAAAGTTGTCACGGCCATCAATGCACTTTAAACTTATCTTCAACGAGAGAGTAATCATTTATACAATAATGTATTATTCAACTCTCATTTTCACAATGGCAATCAGCATATAACATTAGTCTACAAATAACATACAGGCTACTTACAGAAAATGATCTACATAATATACAAGGTAACAATAACCGCGCACATGGGCATTTTCAATATGGTTGGGACTATTAAATATACAAGCAATAGATACTGATCTTCCGCAGATACAGTATACTTTCTTTCCTCTTTCTACCCAACAAGTTCTTCGAGGCCATTTTTAAGAAAATCCACAAAAGAGTTGGCATTGGGCCCGATATTGGCAAACAATTCTTCGGTAATTGACCTATAGGTCGAATTATAGATTTGTAGAGAATAGTACTCTTCTCTTCTGTAATGTAAGGGAAACAGCTGTATTTTAGTCATTTTAAATATTGACTGTAAACCAGTATTGTATTTACACAAATTAATGAATTTCAACTCCGATATTAAACAAACAATTCAGAATGTCGGTCACTGCACTTCACAGCTCGCAACAAATCAAAACAACATATGTTTGGAAAATCTATTATGTTCTTCGAAATCAGTATACTACTTTAGTTGGTGTAAAAGTTTCATTTTTTCAGTGAATTTTATTAAAATATAATTTGAACTGGAGTAATAATTATTGTAATGAATAAACAGCATAAAGAGTTGGACATGTTTGTAATTTTAGACCTATAAACAACTCAATATACAGAGCAAAGTATTAATGTCAAAACTATTTTCGTTTATGCATGGTAATTCATTTGTTGTATTTCTCCAAATGCCAAGTCGAAGTAGAAAATTATAATTAATTGATGAAAGAGGCATAGTCTTTAGTTTTTACTTACTTTTTTCATGATAATAATAAGTGTAAATTTGTATCACATCAGTATACTTCAAATATGATGTTAAGTGTACATGATATGTGGACAGTGACTTTCTTCACCCCTACGGGTCAATTTATGTCTGCGCTATGTGTCCGTAAACCAGTATCACCTACTCTTGTCGGTCGACCTCAGGGGCTGTCGAGACCAGTACACTGTAGTATTCTCTTGTCTTGTCTTACATGATGTACTGGTTTCTTCAAAGTGCACATGAGCCAAATGTGTGCACAGGGCCTACAGAGTCCTTATCTAAGAAGACTTGTCGTACGTAACACTGGGCAAGCCTGTCGCTCAAAACAGTGCTGATATTATAGCTGTAGATTGCAGCGCCACTGCGTTAACCATAATGTATCTTTGACTATAGGAAGTAACATTGGGAATAGATGAAAAGGCATGGAATGACAAACTCAGAATCTGCAGATTTACAGTAATTTTTTAATGATGTGTATGTATTTATACATACATGCTAGTATTATATACAAATACAAACTGTAATTAAAATAAAGGTATATCGATACAATAACCAGAGATGAATAGGTCTAAAAGCCAACTCAAACAGCGTCGTATGACCATGGTATGACGCAGCTCAACGCGATTTGTTGTTGTGTCGGGTCTGCGTGAGTTAAACGCAGACGCGATGGTTTGCGTCGGGGGAAGTCGCGTCTTGGAATATTAAACATGTTTAATATTTCTCACGACGGCTTAAGACTGTCCCCGGGCTGCGTCATACGAAGCTGTCTGAGTTGGCCTTAAGTATATAATATTAATACAACTATTGCACACACTCAAAAGAGACTAAGTGGAAATGTAATTAAATACTTCGTTCTTTATTCAAAATGAATGATTGTTAATCAGTAGACCACTTGAAAATTGATATATAAATATCTGGGTCATGGTTAGTTGGATAATGTATATGTGGGTTAAAGATACAGTATCTAAAAGAAGACGTCTGAAATCAATTAAAATTTTGAATAACTCATCCAAAGGGGCCAAACAAGTTATTAACTTCCAAAGAGAATCAGATTTTAAAAAATAAATATTCTTGAATTACAAACATTTTACTACAAAAATGAAGAGTTAGGGTCAAACCTCTTTAAACCATGTTTTCAAAAAAATCCTTAAATTATCAGCAAATTTCAGGTCCTATGTGAAATACTACAGGGAAGCAGAAGTTTCATTGTATGTAAAATTAGACATTGTAATTTTTATTTTTAAGTTTTTTTTATTATAGGTAAAACATTACTTTATACAAATTAATAAATATGGAATTAAATTTTCAAATTTTTTTAGCTAATGAAAGACAGTACATCTGTAAGTAGCATATAATATTAATAATAATACAGATACATTATACTATAATATTATATATACTTTTAGCAGCACATTACATAATACAATTCCACCTTTCTACATGTCCACACATCTACCCCTTCCATGCATCAAAAACAAAACAAAAATGCTATAATCTATTTTTTGTCCCTTTGCCTTTGTCCTTGCACCTCAGTGCTGTGTAATCAACTACCACCTCAAATATTTACTGAACCTGATGATCTTCAGTCATTTAAATATAACAATACCATACATTTCTTTGCCTACAGTACCATGTGGTTGACCTTTTATATACACTACCACCTGTAGAACATAGGATGTGTATACTGTCAATTAAAACTGTATCAATAAAACAAGATTCAGTCCAATACAAATAATGAAATATTTTACATGTTTTTTTACAGGTCATATTCATACAATATGATATTAAAATGTAATACCTAATATTACATTAACTCGTAGGTAAACCATGAAATGTTGAGAGTGGTGTTGGCATCGCTTTCCGGTTCACATCAAACAAACCACGTCGTTCTTCCAAAACCTTGAGCGATGTTACGCAATATTGTCCGACTCTACAGAAAAAAAAAGTAATGTCATGCCCAACATTAACTACACTTAGAACCAACAACTGCACTGTTTTATTACACAAATAGGAATGCACATACTAACACATGCACATGAACATTTTCCAGAGTAACTGATAAAATTATTATTGCAAACAATAAGCTGAAACCAGACTGATATAGAATAAGAACCACAGACTAATATGAATGTAGACAACATCATGTGTTCTGCTGAAGTGAGACAATGCTCTCTGATGTATGCGGAGAAGACATCGCTGTCAGGTAGCAATACTTCACGGATCAATTAAGTTAATGAAGAGCCAGAGGGATGCCCACATAAACACAGCTTACAATCAAAAGTGTGCAGACACGTTCACTGAAAATTTACCTGAGGTAGCATCTTAAAGCATGTTGTTTAAGCAGTAATTATGCTGTTGAAAACAAAACATCCTGAGCACTTTTCTCTATGATACCTTACCAAATGGCAAAAAAAAAATACTCCCAAATGATCTGATTTTTAAGATTGATCATCAAGGGAGAATAAAAAATAAATGTTAAAAACATACAAAAATACCTACATTAATAGATCACAAAAACATTTTTATTGGTTTGGCATTTACCATAAAGAAATAGAATACTTAAAAGAAGTATCAATATTATTATTAGTTCTTGCCAATAAAAAAACATAATAATTATCTTTAATCATTGTTTTTTATGACAGACATTTCTCATTTTACTATAATGTCAGGGAAATGTACCCTATTGTTGAATGGTTCAATCCATAAAAGCATGACCTATATAACAAACATGTGTACTGTATTACTAAAATCAAATGTAACCATACACCTGAAATTACCTGTCCACAAATATTTAAATTAAAAATATATTTTTACTATATTGTAATAAATGAAGTATTTTAATATTAAGGATATTAGCAACAAATTATAAAAGTACCAGAGATAGCTACAATAACAATGGTAACAACATCATCAGTGATATAATGACAATGAAAGTACCAACAAACAATAGCATTATTAAAATAACAATAATAAAAGCAACAATAACAAAAACTAATTAAAAAAAATTCAATAATACTAGTTGTACTGTAGTTGTAGTACTTAAAAAATTGTTTAAATAGTATAATAATACTACAGTAATAACAAAAATAATAATTGAATATATAATAACTTTTATTTGGAAAATTAGCATATTTTCAAGTTGATTTGTTTCTAAATCCTGCTACTGTTGTAACATCAATTGCAGTGTTGGTGCATGCCCAATATGCATGTTACATTTGACCACCTGTAGACTAAATCCAGGCTTTTATTAACTCCGCTCTCTGTAAGTGCCAGACGAGAAGACACTGTCTGCTGATTGTCGGTTGCAGTCCGAATGGATTGTCATTACAAACAATCTGTTGCGCATGCGTCGTGGCATTGCGTTCTCCATAGGATCACGTCAGCCAATGTCCATCGTGTGCAGTGAGTGTATACACATCTAGATGTGTATAAGAGACAGCTATTGCACACACTCAAAAGAGACT